CCTGCTTCGTTTTGAACTCCAAGGCCAAACTTCCCTGTTGTTCCTTTTATCTCTTGACTCCCTACTTTGGCATTCCAGTCCCCTAGAATGAGAAGAACATCTTTCTTTGGTGCCAGTTCTAGAAGGTGTTGTAAATCTTCATAAAATTGTTCAATTTCAGTCTCCTCAGCAATGGAGGTTGGTGCACAAACTTGGATTATTGTGATGTTGAAAGGTCTGCCTTGGATTCGTATTGACATCATACTATCATTTTTGAGATTGTATCCTATTACAGCTTTACCCGCTCTTTTGTTGACTATGAGGGCTACTCCATTCTTTCTACGGGATTCTTGCCCACAATAGTAGACATGATAATCATCTGAGTTGAATTCACCCATTCCTGTCCATTTTAGTTCACTGATGCCCAGGATGTCAATGTTTATTCTTGCCATTTCCTGTTTGACCACCTCCAGCTTCCCAAGGTTATTAGATCTTACATTCCAGGTTCCTATGCAATATTTTTCTTTGCAGCATCGGACTTTCCTTTCACTTCCAGGCACGTCCACAGCTGAGTGTCCTTTCGTCTTTGGCCCAACCACTTCATTAGCTCTGGAGCTACTTGTACTTATCCTCCGCTCTTCCTCAGTAGCATGTTGGACGCCTTCCGACCTGAGGGGCCCATCTTCCAGCATCATATCTTTTAGCCTTTTGTTTCTGATCATGGGGTTTTCTTGGCAAAGATACTGGAGTGGAATTGCCGGTTCCTACTCCAGGTGGATTGTGTTTAGTCGGAACTCTCCACTATGACCTGTCCGTCTTGGGTGGCCCTGCACGGCATAGCCCATAGCTTCTCTGAGTTGTTCAAGCCCCTTCGCCACGACAAGGCAGCAATCCAACGCATTACCCATGCTTAAATCAGGATTTGGCAAATTTCTTGTATAGATTTGATCATTATGGCCTGAGTCCTATTGCTTTTCATCACACATGGAAGTAAAATCATGGAAACAACTACAGCTAACTGACAGTGAATCAGTTGCGTGTCTAGTGTTTACTCACATGATTAGCATTTTGTCATTAAGCTATAGAATCTCCTGCTATTGTCTTTTCATACACAATAGAAAACAATAGGGTTATGACCTTCATAGTTTCCTTTTGACTACCAGACGGAGTTCATATGTGTCTTGTATAATTTGTTCAGTTCTATCATCATGAGTGCTTGAATGGCATCTGTTTCGTGTCCCTCAGTTGCAAATGGCATATATTGACAAGATGAGACAATTTTCAGAAATTCTTCCTCCATTCCGCTTGGGCTAGAATATTGGGTCCTTTCAGAACAAGATGCAAAGGAGGCTGCAGGAAGATTAGAAATAGCACAAAGTTTTCCGTCCCCTGTTACGTTGAGGGATGTCTTACATCAACAGAGAGGCACCAGTTTCATACCACATGTGGTCTATAGAATATAGGTGGTTAAATTAGTAGAAAACTTGTTATTTTTCTTATAAAGTAACATGTTTAACAGGTAAGCTGTGAACAGCTTAGAATATAGCTGTTTCAATGCGCATATCTTGTCATCAACTTATGCAACACAGAGTAAAGTAAAGCTGGTGGAAAGTAAATCAGAATCTTTCGGTCTATCAGAGTGGTTTGAAGTAGCTTAGCAATTGTCTCTGACTTCCAGTTGTTTAATAATAGCAACAACAGAATTATTTTCGCACCTGAAATAGGCTGCTGAAGTAGAGGAAATTTGAGATAATGAGAATTGAATTTGTGTGTGAAAAGGCCATTAACTCTGGTACGCAGAACATTCTTAAACTTTGAATTATTTTGTTTAAGGGGAACGTTTTCTTTTGCCTCGGACCCTTATTGATAAATCTTAGGGTTCTAGTGGAAAAATAGATTTGGAAAATGTGAACTCTGCCCTGGTATAAAGTCTTGGGCTTTGGTGGTATTTTCCTTGGCTAAAA